AACTGACTAGAAATCACTCATCTAAGTGCAAGACAAAAATAAAGTTTTCACTGAAATTTCATTTTCATTGAATTCAAACAATGTTCTTTAAAAAAGCACCCAAACAAGTACAAGATATTTTTTCTACAACTCTCAGCTAAATTCAGTATTACAGTCTTTATTTCTGTATGATTATTTACTTAAAAAAAAAACAAACAAACCACAAAATCATCACCTTCTGAAAGTAGACCCTTAACCAGCATCTCTGAATCAAGAGACACTGCAAGATAGTCTCTTTAACTGAAATATTTGGTCTGCAGACCAAGTAACTGATAACTGTACCTGTATGAGACCTTTTATGAAGCTCCAAATTGCTTGGATGTTTGAAAGCCTTTCCACATAATTCACAAGTATATTGTCTCTGTGACTGAAGAGTCTGTGATTGTCCTTCTTGTTCCAAAGAACCTTGAGATCTTTCCATTTCAACAGTTTGTTCAAAATTCTCAGAATTCACTAAATCTTCATCTTCTTTTTCATCAGTAACTCTAACATTTGTCATGTCTGTGGTACTTTCATTTACAGGTTCAATTACTTCTGGTACTCTACTGTCATCCCTTTTAGGCTCAGGTGGCTGCTCTGCAGATTTCTGAGATCTTAGAAAATTTAACTTTTTGAGGTGTATTGCCTTTTTCAGCCGCATCTCTTTGGTTGGCTGCATAAGTGTGCTTTCTGCATCTTGGTCTGGAGCGGCTTCGTTCACAGACTGAACCAGAAAGTTTGATGGTAAATGATCAGATGTTTCCAGAATACACTCAGAGTGACTGACAGTGCAAGAATTATTCTCCACTGCGTTTATTTCTGTGGATGTGTTGTAAGAAAAGGATGGTTCTGCTCCTCTCTCATGATCAGAGCAAGCATTTTGTTTGTAGAACTGTTTACTGTAAAAGTTGCGTAGTTTGTAATAGTAATTTGGTTGTTTAAATGGAAGCTCTGTGCAGTTGCCATCTAAGGAGTCTTGTGGCTGTTTCTGTGCATCACCTGGGGGTGTGTGCAGATTAACAGACTGTGATGCATGAGAATGGTGGTCAGCCAAGACTTTATTGGCCTGTGTGTCAGATGAGCACTCATGCAACAGGTTTGTCCCATAACCGTCACTGGCACAGCTCCCATCTGTAGCCAAAGTATTCTGCAGTGAAAATACACTATTACAAGGCATGCTGGCTGCTTGCTCTACAGCTGTAGAAGATTTTAAAAAGGTGTGGCAAATGTTCAGCACATTTTGCACTTGGAGACACTGTGCAATGTCCAGCATAGCTTGTACATTGTCCTGACTAAGATCCAGGTGAGAGGTGTACATGAAGTCCAAGATCTGGCCTATGCCACCTACATTTTTAATGTCCAAGTGAAATACATCGTTCTTCTGGCCTGAAGAATTCTGGAAAAGGGTCCTGATAAAATAAGGCAAATACTCAAATACAAACAGAAATAATTCACAGGCACTTTAATAAGAAAAATACACATACACCTCAAATAGACTGTCTGGTATGAAACAATTTATACTCTAAGGCCTTACCTAGAGTGCTGTATTTTTACAGTCTCAAAATGTCTCAATTACTTGTCATATATTAGTCCTACATTAGTGCACTTAAAGCATAAATCAAAACAAATGATCCTTTATATAATTTCAATTTTGTATTTTTTAGTGTTTTGAAATGACACCCTATCCTTGTGGTTTCCTATCCACTGTTATTCACATATTAAGTGCAGTGAAGTATTTACGGACGATTTTCAAAAATTGCTTTACTCAGAATGGTGTTTCTCCTTTCATCATGGCAAATAAAACAGGACATATGAGATTTGCTAGTAAAAGGGAGAAGAATAAGACCTCAAAGTCAGTTAAACTCTTCTGGCAACTGAGCTTGTCCACCAAACTCTATCAGTAAATCTTATTAAAGTTCTTAGTATTAGTTCTTTCTCCACAAATACATAGCAGGATGGCGACATTAAGCAAGAAGATGGCATTATTTTCAATCTATTATCTCATATCCAAAGAAGTACTTTTTTTACTGGCACTAGATGACAACCAAGTAAAAGAATAATGAAGAGCCTAAGCCAGCAGTGCAACCAATACCCACTGAATTGTCATTGGATCATTAAAGTGAATGAATTCACAAAACTTACTATTTGATGTAAAGTGTTCTCACATTCAGAGCTGTAGCTCTTCACATTTACAACTAGTCCTAGATTAAGTGGGTTCATACTCTGTCTCAATCAAGAATTTCACACCCTCCCATTAAAATTCCCAGTCTCTAACCTGATACTCTCTGATACAATGATAACTGAATGATATCTGATAACTGATACAATGACATATAAACAAACAGGGTCAGGTCACTTCTATGTAGTTATTTTCCTACACTATGAAATGCCCCAAACTTGATGGTTCCTCTTTGTGGCCAAACTCTCAAATTAGGTTTTGTTTAAAGGGTGGGCATAATATCAATGAGCTCTAAATCTTAAGGAAATGAGACCCTATGCCTAAACTTTAGAAATGCAGAGGCTACTCTGAAGCCAGTGCCCACATCAAAATTCTTTCAGAAATCGAGACCATCCTATCTAAATTAAAACCAGAACTATAATGAACAGATCTGGGTTGAGAGTCTAAATTAATTAGCCACTTATATCCTATTGAATTTTAATAGGAGTTGAGTGCTTAGTTCTTTTTAACTACTTAAAAAAATTCAGTCGTTGAGCATAATTGCACTTCATCAGCAGGATTACACCACTAGAAGAGAAAAAGGAACCTCTTATCTTTTTTCCCTGGTTGTAACATAGAAATAATTTTCTTACTTTAGAGATGCTTCAAAAAACAAGGTCTAAAAACTGCCAGATCTAACAGCTTACTCATAACTAATGTAAAACACTAAGTTTTACAGTGATCCAGCATCCTCCAAAATTTGGAGGGTCAATTGAGGGCAGCACAGAAGGGAAAGAAACCAGCGATATGGCATAATGGGTCACCCGTATACTTTAAAAAACAGTTATCTCCGAGAATCTGTTCTAAACAGAGATTCAATAATAACCTATATTGTAAAATTTTATTTTGAATATATGATTGATGAAACAAGTCACATTATTTAGAAGTAAATAATGTTTCATCAGTTATATCCCTTATCTGGCTCTGTTCGTGTACTCTACTATATTCCTTCTAAGCAGTTATCTTTCCTTACTGAAATACTGAATGCAGGTCTATGCCAGAATCTGTTATATGAGGCAGTATAAGCAAGTAAGGATCAAGAAAATGCCAACAATCCAACAGCATAGTATGAATACTTGACACAGATTTATCTCTGGATAAACAATTTCCCTTTTCTCATTATATTCCTAACAGTTACTTTACTCTGCAACTACCAAAAAAAAATACCCTTCTCAAAGAAAACCTCAACCAACAGCATTTAATTATAATTTTAAAAAGAAGAGTTTTCTATCACATACCTGAAATATTGACTGAAAGCAGCTAATACATTTTTGTGTGCTTTGAAGCATACACCTTTTACCACCAGCATGCAGTCACAGAGAAGCCCCTGAATGCGCTGTTCATGTAGCTGCTGGAGAAGATGACAACTATGGCTAGCAACAGTGTCCATGCTAGAAAATCACTTAAATTACCTACAATGAAATAAAATGCTAAGATGAATTTTAAATATTAAATTGCAAAATTAATTTAAAATATTAGGAACATTTTCACAATTTGTTTTAGCTTCCAAAGGAAACAGACTACAGTTTACACTTGCAATGTGAGCCCTAATGACATTTTTCTGATTAAAGATGAGTGACAATACTGCTCACCCATAGATGCACAGCGATATACATAGGAAATACTGATTTTAATGAAGTTTTGCTTACAACAAAGAGCTTCTGCAAAAATCTAATGGTTCTGCCAATAAATTGAACTCCATAACCACAAAAAATCACACCTTGATTTAGACAACTTGGACAAGAACTAGATTCTAAGGCAAAAACACATCATGCCTGCAAAATCAGTATCATCTGTAAAGGTAAACCTCAGTTTCCTCACCCTCTAAACTGAAAGGGGAGAATATAGTACTAGTGTTATTGAAGACATATTCGTTGCTGTCCTAGCTAAATACATTTCCCATGTGGATCTGATTAGATATAGTAATTTTTTAATACAATACAATGCTTAAATGAAAAAAATCCTTCTTTGAACAGGTTGGAAATACAAGTAATTCCCACTGAACATATTTACATTCAATTCTATACTTCTTTTTTTCTAAAGAAAGATGTAATTCTTCCCCTGCACACTTGTAAATGAGAACTCCGACTATTAGGACAATTGGAACTTCTAACCTTCTAACTAATGAAGCAGAAAGACCACCTTGGGTTAAACATGACCAGAAAGTGGTTGCCCCGTTCTCAGTTCTCACGAGGACCAAAGGTTCCACTTTTTAGTTTATCCTGTTACTCTGTGATTCACTGCCTCCTGCTGTATTACAGTGTGGGCTATTATATTGTGCTTTTTCTCTGTGAACGCTTATCATGTCTTCTACCAGGCTTTTAAATAAAGAAACCACGTCTGCTTGCCAAGCAGTTGCTTTCTCTGTGTACGTCTCCCACCACGGCATCCTGCAAATACTTTGACAACCAGCGAACTGCCTCTCAGCCATCAGGTGCCTGTCTCCCAGCGGGAAAGGCGGGCATGGAGAGCCGCTCCCGAACACGGGAAACCCCCGCAACACAGTCGCTATTTATGATGTATGATTAAGCCTGGCCCAGCTGAGCCCAGGCTCGAGGTGTCGCACGGAGAAAGGCACAGAGGGTGCAGGGGAGAGGGCCTCAAGGGGAGGGCGGGCTCTGGCCGGTGTCGGAGCAGCCGCTGCCGCAGGGCCGGGGCTGCGGGCGGGCCGAGGGCCCCGGGCGGGGGGAACGCGGCGCCGCCCGGCTGAGGCGGGAGAGCGGTCGAGGGGCGGGAGCCGGCCCGGCCCTGCCCAGCCCAGCGCTTACCGGCTCCGGCCACCTCCCAGCTCCATCCCCGCCACCGGCCACTTCCGCCGCCGCTCCTTCCCTTCCCCTTCCCCTTCCCTGCCCTTCCCGTTCCGCTGCGCAGCGCGGGGCGGGGCGGGGGCGGCGCAGGCGCGGGGCGGAGTGGGGCCGAGGCGCGGCGGGAACGGGGCAGCGGCACGTGCCGCGTGGGGCGGCTGCGGGAGGCGGCGGCCGCGGAGGTGCGGGGGTGCAGGGGACGGGAACGGGAATGGGAATGGGAATGGGAGAGGGATCGGGAGAGGCGGCACGGCACGGCAGCAGTGGCTGCCGGCCAGGAGCGCGGGTGGCGGGTACGCCGTGTGGCCGGGCCGCCCCTCGGCAGCGCCGTTCGCCTGGACCCGACCGGGACGGGTCTGCTGAGGGGAGCGGGACGGAAGGGCTGGGGAGGTCGTGCCGGGAAAAGGAGGTGGATCGGGGTGGCGGGTACGGGGGTTACTGGTTCCTGGGCTGGGTGTTACTGGTTCCCGAGTTGGGGTGGCGGGTACAGGGATTGCTGGTTCCTGGGTTGGGGGTTACAGTTTCCCTGGTTGGGTGGTGGTAATAGGGGGTCATTGGTTCCCGGGTTGGGGTGGTGGGTGCGGGGATCTGGGTTGGGGCAGTGGGTATGGGGTTTAGTGGTTCCTGGGTTGGGGTCATGGATGTGGAGGTCACTACGTCCTGGATTGGGGGTCACTGTTTCCCGGGTTGGGGTGGCAGTTACAGGGATTGCTCGTTTGGGGTGGCGGGTACAGGGGTTACTGGTTCCTGGTTTGGGGGTTACTGGTTCCCAGATTGGGGTGGTGGGTACCGGGATTGCTGGCTCTCGGGTCACTGCTCTCCCCTATGCTCAGGGTGTCAGGCAAGGCGAGCTCCTGCACCTGCAGGATGGGACTGCTTGCCCCGTCGGTGGGTGGGTGGGTGCGCAGGTGCTTTTCGGCCATCCACGTGGTTTTTTCAAGCCGTAAGTGTAAGATCTCTTTGTGTTTCTAGGGTTGTGCTTGTATGTGGAGGAAGGAGGTGGTACCCACTTCATGGAAGCTCCTGACCACTTGCCAACATGGTAGTTTTCACATGCAATGCATGTGGAGAAGCTGTGAAGAAAGCACAGGTTGAAAAGCATGTGAACATCTGCAGAAACTGTCAGTGCTTGTCTTGCATGGATTGTGGCAAGGATTTCTGGTAGGTAAACGATGTGAAATAGCTTTTCTCACTCTGCAGAGGTTGTCACAAATACAAGTTTTTTCTGTGGTTTTTTAGAATTAAATGTGTCTATGTCTGAATAATAATATTTGTATTTAAAAAATTACGTGTTTTTATAGAAATTCAAGCTTAATCATCCAAGTTTGAACCTCATAGACAACTAAACCTCAACAGTAAACAGCCATCAGTGAAGATGGCTTTCAGCTTCTGATCATCAACAGCTGTTATTTACTCTGTTACTGCAGGGAGTGAAATTGGCGATAATGTTCCTTTTGGAACATACTTAATTTGTTGATTAGGTGTTGCACTTTTCAAAGGACTGAAGCATCTCTGTGACCTATGGTTAAAAATCTCTTATGTTCAGGGGTGATGACTATAAGGAACATGTGAAATGTGTAAGTGAAGACCAGAAATATGGTGGAAAAGGTTTTGAAGCCAAAACTAACAAAGGAGATGCCAAACAGCAGGAGTGGATTCAGGTAAGTTTATATTATCTACATATATGATAAATAACTATTGTTTATAATTGTTATAGACACCGGAAAGGCTATACTGGATCAAACCAGAGATCTGTTTTTCCCAATATCCTCAGCTTTCTTTTGGCATGTCTTTGGTAGGTCTTTTGCTTATCCTGGTAAGAAATGCATCTTTTGTTTGTTTTGAATCTATCTCTTACTAGTTTGATTTAATGTAGTTTTCTCAGTTGCACACTGAGTGTGTGCTCTAGGCTGAGAAATTCTACTCTGTTCAGTTGTCCTTCATATGTAAGTTATCTCTTTGGTCCTCTGAAGTCTTCCCAGTTCTACTGTATGCTTCTGAAATAAAGTTCAAGATATGGATGAACCATAGATTTACTGTGTGTCATAATGATGTTTTCTGTGTCCTTCTTTGTATCTTTCAAAGTTATTTTTGTCAGTTAATCTATTTTTGGTTTTCTGTTTTGTTTTTTTGCTGCTGATGGTCATTGTGCTGGCATTTTGATGGAATTGGCTATTTTAAACCCAAGATCTTGTGTCTAAGCTCCAGCAATCAACTTAAAGCCTGCCATTTTAGATGTGAAGTCAAGATTGCTTTTCCTTTGCATCCTGCTTTACGTTAATTTGTGTTGGCTGTAATTCACCCTTTTATTACCTAGTCGCTCATTTTCTTAAAATCTTTCTGCAGTCCTTATAGTCCTCATCCTGAATAGCTTCACAATCATCAGGAAAATTTTCCTATCCTCTTGTCAGATATTTTTTAAATATGTTGAACAAGAGAGACTCCAGCACAGATAAAAATGTCTAATACCCTTTCTGTTTTGTGCAAGAATCTGCCCTCTTAAGGCTATTCATTGATTTGTGGAAGGAACTGAAACACATTTTTAAAACCCCATTAGTAACAAGTTAATCACCTTCATACATGGATTTGTTGATTTCTATCTTGTATAGAACACAATCTAACAAGGTACTAAGCTACACACACACGCAAGGTATATGAGTCAAAGATGAGTAGTGGTTGAGATTGAACATGGTTTGAGGACATTGTTAAAGGCAGCATGATGTGAGAGCTATTGCTCATGAACATTGTAAGCCTGCCTCAGAAGTAAGTTCTTCCTACACAGAAAGCTGAGGGATTATTACCAAACACCCTTTTCCAATAGTCTTAACACATCCACAAAACCTTAGTACAGGAAGACTCTCCAGTGTCCAGTGGCTGCGTCTTTAAGTACCGGGAAGCTCGGCCCTTTTTCCCCCCCACAAGCAGCAGTGCTGTTCAAGGAACTGCCACGAGGAACTGCCCTGACCTAATCTCTGTTCTCTTGTGCTGACACCCATAGCATGGGAATATCCTGAACAGAGGATTAATGGTTGTGGAAGCTGGCACTGCTGCCAAAAGAAAAGCATATCAAACTGTGGCATCTAAGTAAGCCTGATTTTTCACAATTAACTCCAGAAGCTTGCAAAAAACCAATAAGTTGACAATTGCTTTTCTTAGTAAAGGTCTTTTTCATGCTGCAAGAATCCCTAATATTGTACAGTTTCTTTACTTTAAAATGTATTTATTTCAGATTGTAACTTGTACATCAGAAAGCACTGGTGAGCAGTCCTGCTTGCCTCTGCTTACTGTATAAGTATAAATGTTTAGATAGGTAACTTTGACGCATCTAATGATCTGTGATTAAACCAAAGATCAGTCTTTTTCTCATGCATTTTGAACATTTCCTGGGAACAGACTATACCAGCTGTGGGTGCTGGGTGATTCTCTCCAGTGTACTTCAAACTTGCACACCTTGGATGTACCATTTGATCCTTATGCTACTTTTCTGATTTAATTCTGTTTTTCTTATTTAGAAAATCCATGAAGTAATGAAGAAGCCAAATATAAGCCCTAAAGTGCGGAACGTCCTGGAGCAGATGCGTGCCTTTGATAACATTCCAAGAAAAAAAGTAAAGTTTCAGGTATGTTTTAATGGAGATTTATAGTAATCCATGCAGTGAGCTTAAAAATAGACTTTCTTAGGAAGTCTTTTAACAAAGGTGGGACAAATTGCTTATTTGGGCATTGGTATAGATGGTGTAATGCCTGAATTTCAAATAGGCAATATTTGTAAAATAAATTTCCGCGCTTAAAAGGACTCTTTGTGTGCCAGTTAAATTAGGTATTAAGCCAGAGACTCACCATTTAAGCATAATCTTTAAATATAGCCTTGTTCTTTTTTCAATACCTTTCTTTTTCCCTATTTCCAATTTCTATTGAATGTCCAAATTCTTAGACATACTTTAAAAGATTTTTTATTTCTGTGGCTTTGTTTTTCCCTGGTGAAGGCAAGATCCTGTTTTGAGTTTTCCTGTTACTTAGTATTCTGACAGAATCTTCCACACCTTGCATGCTTCACTAAAGTAAATTCCTAATGTTTCCTGTGGTATCAGTAAAGAATTACTGACAAGCTGCCTTTTTTTTTTCTCTCTCTGTTTTGTACCTCAGATGGTGAGGCTGAGAGAAGATCATGCTTGCTCTCAAAGCACTCAAATAGAACCTAATAGAGCTGTGGTGAAATTGCTGCTAGTGAGCTGAAGGTTAAAATATTTTTCTAGAAAGTTAATGTTCTAAGCAGGGAAAATTATATTGTCAAGAAGCCTCTTTCTTTTTGGTAATATTTGTTGCAGTGAAAGATCAAATGTTTTTGCAGTTCATTGTTCAATTTATTAATGCACCTTTCCTGGGATTTTCAGTGCAATGCAAAAATCCTTACATTAGGTTTTATATAGAATTCCATGTTTCTAGAGGTTGATCTGTTGCTGATAGTGTAAACAGGTAAGTAGAAATTTATGGCTTTGTTTCACCAGGAACTCCTGCAATAACCCAAACAACTTTCAAATGTTTGCATCGAGACATTTGTTTAAGTTTTACTTTTCTGTAATAAACAAAGGTATCCATTGAGGAGCATGACCATCAGTCCAGTACACAAATAAATAAGATCAGATCATTAATGTTCTAACTCATAGGAACAGTCAGAAGGTTTGGTAGGACATCAGCATAACCAGTTGTATTTAAAAGCTTGAGATTATCTTTTGTATATACTTAACCTCTTTGGGATTGCTATTGGTGAGGCAATTCAGAGAGTGGTGTAGCCTCATAATAGTACATAGGCATAGTACAATTTAGTAAGGAGGTTTGAGAGATTCATAGCAGTAACTTGTAACTAGATCTTAGTCAGAAGCAGTGATTAGATTCTTAAATGAAAAATAAACCCAAGAACCAAATATATTGTAATTAAGAAAGAAAATCAGAGGTGCACATTTTCAGTTATTGCTGTTTTTTCCCTGCACAGAATTGGATCAAGAACAGTTTGAGAATTACTGACAGCACTTTGCAAGATCAGGTGTGGGACGTTTTCTCGGAAGCAACCAGAAAGGTCAGTTAAGTTAGAGGTACAACATCATATAACAAGAATGCAGTCCAAAATGCTGGAAGGAAAACCTTTTGTAGATGCTGGCAGAAACATTGTCTTCTATTGTTACCATGGATTCTGTTATAATGTAATATTTCTAGACTGAATTGCTTACTTGTGGAACAGACTGTTGCTGAAGTAGTTGTGAATACGGGGTAGGTTGTGATAGAAAACTTGGACACAGTGACACGGTTGTGACATGATAATCAGAGGCTGATTCAACTTAATGCTACTAGTACATATAGAAAAGAAAAACCACTACCTTTATTTTTGGTTCCAGTCTTTTAGTGCACACTGAGATGGAATCAAATATCTTTTCAGAACTTTATTTGTTTTGATTGTTTACGTGTATTGCTTCTATTAGAAAGCTGTCACAGATCTCATTTCGCTGTTGAGGTAAAGATGCTCTCCCCCCACATTCTTTTGAGGAAGAGTGTAGGCATAGGTTTGGCATTAATCCCCTGTTGATTATGCTTCATGTTTCTGATTTGATGATTCCAGTTAAATCTATTTGCAGTTTTTCTGAAGAATCCGAATATAAGATCCAGGAAGGAAAGAAACACATTTTGTAAAGGATATGAACATAATATTAACTCTGGACACTGAATTTGAAGTACATTGTTTTGCTGGAACATTAATACTGAGTCAACAGAACTTCATTTAAGTCATAAAATATTCTCTCTTGACATAAACTGATTTTTAAAGAAAATAAATCTTCAATCTGAAAAACTTCTATTTAAATACAAACAATTTGCATTGTCCATAGAGCATAGCATTGAAGTAAAATATATAGCACAGCTTTCTTGCTCAGATCATTTCAATGCACCTTTAAGAGTTCTTAAAAAAAATCTTAAGATATTCGTTGTAATATATACCTTGAATTTTATGTACTCAGTGGACATTCCTAAGTAGAATTCAAATTTAATTGAAATTACTCCTTACAAAACCATGTTGGTGTTAAGTTGCCTTGTATAAGGATCTATTATCTTACTAAATAGCCACACTAACATTTCAGTAATTGTATTTCACTAGTAATTATTAAAATTAAAGTTAAAATTAAATATTATTTTTTTCATTAATATATTCATTCTTCTACAAGAAAATAATTATCAGCCAAGGAATGTTAAAAGAAGACCAAATATATTAAGGTGAGAAAAGTACAATTAAAACAACCAGAAGTGCCTTTGTTAACATCATGCAATAATGGTTTGTTGTCCCAGACATATCCCAAGACAGGGAACTGGGTGGCAAAACTAAGATTATTACTCAAGGGCTGTATATTTGGGAATAGGTTCTGTATGTTGCTGTAATGTTTTGCTTGTGTAAATCAAAGAGTTGTCACTCCCTTAATTACATTTAGCAATTATGTTAAAACACATGGACACTTACTTCAACTAGAAATTATATATGTTGTAAGATAACATTTCTTCTTTGACATTAATTAGCATTTAGTCTGTTTAGTTAAAAGAGGAATCAGACACACTAGTGCTATTTCTCAGGTATCTGGTATTACTAGATGTAAGCAATTTAATTGATTTCAAGAAATTAGTGTTCTTCATGAATTATGTAGTAGGGGAAAGTTGCAGTGTCGAAACAAGGCATGTAAAAATTGTAATAATCTTCTTTTTCAACAAAAGATTTCAAATGAAAAAGAACAGGACAAACAACAACAGAAGGAAGAGCGCCAGTCTGCAGAAACTGAGGAAAAAACAGTGGCAGAAGAAAATGGAATTACAGATGATAAAGTTGAGAGGAAAAAGAATAAGAGAGAACGAAAAGAAGAGAGACAAAAGAACAAAAAGAAGGAGAAAAAAGATTTGAAATTAGAAAACCAGCCAGAGGTAAAAAAGAGTAAAAAATCCAAGAAAGGAAAAGAGAGCGTGGAGAATGAATTTGAAACAAATGGAAATGGCCATCAGAATGAAGTAGAAGAGGAAACAAAAGTAAAGAAACGCAAACATAAACATGTAGAAGGTATTCATTATACAACTTAAATTCTTGTTTGTTTTGAAGATGCTTTTTCTCAATTCCAGAGCTTAATAAACTACCTAAGTAGAATTTTTAAGTAGGAAGTTACATATACAAATTAGATTATTTTTTTAACAGTGGTTGCACAGTTCTTTTATATAATCTGAACCTCTTAGCAAATATAAACTCATGTTAGAAGAACAGAACTTTAAGTTGTGTCAGAACTTTTCTTCTAGTTTTAAATTTTTTTGTGTATGTTTATCCAATTCCAGCTCCAGAGGAACCTCCTATCAAAACCAAGAAAATGAAAACCGAAAACACCAATGACAACAAAAAAAGTGTGGGACCTAATAAAGGTATTCTTAAAGGGACAATTTAGTTAATTAAAAAACTATCTTGCAAAAGACCTAATGCAGAATATAAATACAGTGCTTTGGCAGGAAACCATGAAATACATTGTGCTGCAGCGTACATAAATGTATATTCAATATACAGCACCAGGTCAGGGTAAGTAGCCTGTGCTACACTTAACACCTGACACTGAATTACTTCTCTCAGTTGTTGCTTCAGCTGTGCTGGCAACCTCTGGCTACGTTTGGTTCCACTGGGCAGTGAGGAATCTTGTGTGTTTGTTTCACCACAGCTAGCCAGCACAGAGGAAAAAGGAAAAAGCTCTCTTGGACCTCCTGGTATCTCTCATATCCCCATTTTTGCTCAGTGAATCATAAATTGGATTTCAGATGTGTCAGACCTTAGTTTATTCTTGGATAAAGCTACTTCTTCCTATCACCCAACACATTATGGCTTTTGCTTGAACATACAGATTGTTATTTGGGAACTACCAATTAATGACCTCTGAAGGTGGTATTTGACTGCCCATGCTCTAAGCTTGAGGAGACAGGACCTTCCTAACTATACTAGAGAAGAAGACCTGGCAATGTCTAATTTTACTAACAGTGTTGTACGCCTAATTATTTTCTAGGTAAATTCAACTGGAACGGAACCATCAAAGCTGTTCTGAGACAGGCTCCAGACAACGAAATTTCAATTAAAAGACTAAGAAAAAAGGTATGGTAAAACATTGGGGTTTTTAGTCTCCTTTTGTCTTGTGAATTTCTTTCTGTAATGCTGAAGTTCGTAAAATCCTGGTTTGACATTATTTAACAGAACATCAATTGACAGAATGTCAACTGAAGGATGGGTTCTTTGTTGCTTACTAAGTTATGGAGGAAATTCAGTGCTAATTCTGCAAAGAAATAATAGCATCATAGATTCTATGCTACTTTTAATACAGTAACATGAATGTATTACTGCTTAAAGTGGAGTCATCTTTACTAACTAAAAACTATTCCTCTGTCTTTGTGCAGGTTATAGCTCATTTTCACGCAGTAGCTGCTGAACAGTACAAATCAGAAGAGGAGATCCTTGTCACATTTAATAAGAAAGTGAAAAACAATCCCATATTTAAAGTTCGGAAGGACAGAGTGAAACTTGTGAAATAAAAGTTTGCATACTTTGCTGTTGCATTTTAATCTTGCAGAGGGAGTCAAACTCTTCTGTCACCTGTACAAATACTAGGCATTGGTCTCAAATTGTATATGTGAAAGCAGAATTTAACTTTTAATACTGGACTCCTTTTTCTAGATTGATCACAGAACATTTTCAGATACTTTATTTTTTGATTTTATGGAAAATGTATATTTTCTGGTACAAGTTTTAAGAGACATGGAAAATAATTACTGCCTACTGTATTAAAATTCTACCAGTAATGGATATAATTTATAGGCATGAATGTTTTACCTGGACCTAGGTTGGGTGGCTTTTTGCAGAAACTATTTTAAGAGCAAGGAGGATTTTCGTATTAAAAAACCCACTGTGGAATAAATGTTTTGTTGTGTTAAAATCCAAAATGGTGTGACTGATATCCCCTTTACACAGTGTAGTTAGTGTATGCAGGCTTTAATAAACCGCTAAGTGTTGTAAAATGCGTAATTATAGTGTCTCTCAGATTTGTGTGTGCAATATTGCACATTCAGTGAAAATCTAAAGCCTGAGTTACCTGTATATGCATTGCTACTGAAAGTCTTGATTAGTAATGCAACTGACTTCAATGTAAGTGGTTACATGGACCAAAAATTGACTGATTAAATAAATTACTTTAAAATACCACCTTAAATATAACAAATCTTGTCACTTTATAATTTTATTATAAATCCACAGATTATAAATTATTTTAAGAGGATGTTATAGTGCAGTCACCAAAACAATTTAAGTAGACTAGATATGTTACACATATGTTAAAGTTTCTTGAAGTTTTATAGGTTTTTACTGAAATGCAAAACACTTCCATCTAGAAAGTTTCCTACCATGAAATAGTCTGTTACAAACAGTGGTAGAAAACAGTTGATGGTATGATGTTTATTTTTAAAAATTGCTTAGTGATTTCAAGCAGATACACTTCTATAAAACTCCATAGTAAAAAATATCTGAATTTATAGAAATATTGAATATATTAAAAGTATTAATATGAAAAAATTACCTTTCTGATACACTGGGTCCAGTTTTTCTGAGTACATATTTGTCTTACAGAAGTTGCAATAAAAGCACCTAATAAATTTAAGATCTCTTCGGTAAGTGTTTGTTGTTAATTCATGAAAAATGGTTTTGGAGATAAATAGAATAAAATTTATTTACAGACATGAGAAGAGACTTTGAGTAGTTGAGAGCATTTCAAAAGTTTAGGGGGGTTTTGTTGTTTTTTTTTTTTAATTTAGGACATAAGTCAGTGAAATTGAAATCAATACAGAGCAATTAATCTCTTCACTCACTGTATTTATTTTACAACAGATACTGCTACATTAAGATCACAATCAGGTTTGTGAAAGTAATTGTTTCATGTTTTCATGTTGTTTTTTTTTTGTTTAGAATTAATTCCAAATTATGACATTCCCTTACACTTTTCATCTTCAATTGTTGACCACAGCATGTGTTAGACACATATATTGAAGCATCTGCTGAACTTCCCTCTACACTTCAAAAGGCCAGTTCCATGTCCACAAGCCAGGATTATCTTCCATCTCTCTGCCCTGGCTTCCATCATTCAGCTGGTCCCAGCTGCCTTGTTGTGTTGTGGGAGGGTATTGTAGTTGGGGTCAGTTCCTGAGCAGGGCAGCAAGTTGTGGAGTGGCACTACTGGCCGTGCTACTGCTGGCACCTGCAGTACCCACACGTGTTCTCAATAAGGGCCCTGCTGTTTTCTTGACGTGCTCATGAACTCATCAGCTGCATCTTTTTTTCCTTTTTCAAACTGGTAAGGGCAGTTTGGATTATTTATGCTATGCATTTGAAAATAAATATTCACAGCAAATTCATACTTTGGAGTATTGCAATTTATCTTTCATATCTTGGGAGAATGATGGTTTCTCCTTGTGGGGTGAAGTTGTAGCCCCACAATTGAAGATTGAGGTAGTGCAAAAGTTAGGCTGTGTTCCATGGGAGCAGTGGAGCTGGTTAGATGGTTTCCATGGACACGGCCTTGGGTTGCAGGGAGTACAAGGTTAAGACTTTGATAATGTGCAGGTGCTTGAACTCCTGGATGTCTTTGTGAAAATATGTTTATGTTGTGTGTGGGAAAGTAGAAGTTAGCATGCTCAATAAAGGCTGCCTGCTGCGCTGAGCAGGCAGACATCTCTTGTCTCACCGTCCTAGCGTGTCTTGTGCGTCTTTCTTCCCCCACCGGACCAAGGCCTCACGACAAGATACCCTGCGACATCTCCTCATGAAAAGCACTAACATTTTCTAATCTACAGACAAGCTGATCTGTATCCGATGGAAACAAGAACCTAAAAGAAGCTCTGAAGTTGTGCAACAGTTCTTTTTATTCAGTCTAACAGATAACGAGATACTTAGTTCTGGTGTCTGATGCTCAGGGTTTACTGCAGTGCTCACTGAATGAACCAAAACAGGAGACTAAATGTTCAGAAACACCACACATCAGCTGAAAGCTGAAGATAAGGAATATCAAATCAACAGTATGCAGATAGTGGTAGCAGACTAGGATTTGATGTCATTTTTTTTCCTGCTCTAACTGTTGTGGTTCTCAATGATTCAAACACCTCACTTCCCCTGTGCATTGCCATGGTTGGGTTAGTAGTGCTGGTGTGGGGGTAATAAACATTTTGCATCTTGTTCTTCCCCTCTGTGTAAAGGATAAAGCAGCACCAGCTTTTGTTAGTATTTTTCTTCATGATTTGATAGACATAAATAAAATTTATGCCTCTTTATTGATGGTCACTAGTGGGAGTCTATTGCAGAAAGAAGGGGTGGGGGAGCAATATGCTTTGTAGGTGGATTTTTCTTTCTGAATGTTCCTGGAAATACTGTAGTATGGTAGATGAGTCTATGCCTCCAACTATAGATGACTTCAAGTGCTGTTGCATTCACTGCACAGTTGCATTATTGACATGCAGCTCTCTAGTGAAAGAAACCCTAATTTCTATGTTTTTTCATTAGATATCAAAGTACTCCAAGGACTGATATTGGCTTTTCCACTTAAAACAAATCTGAGCTTTAATTTACTTCTTGCAACTAATGATGTCTTGGTCAGATTGAAATTACTATGAAATATGTAGTAATTGTTTCAGAGGGATGCATCAGAGGAAGGCATAATCCCTCACAGATCATCGAGAATCCTGACAAACAGTAGGACCTATTGAATTTCTATTCAGTGATTAAGCAGCATATTTAGCAGTATATTTTTAATCCCATGGATATGTTGCAATGAAGTTCTGTACCTTGGATGATCTTTTAAGTGGTGAGAATGGTGTACAACCTTAAGATTTACCAAATGCCAGAAAGCAACAGCATCAATTTACCTGATTGCATTTAGAGAGCATGTAATGTTTAAACAATATTATTCCAGACTTCTAAGAGAACACCAAGGCACAATACACATTGGTAATGTAGAAACTTGCCAAGCACCTGTTTGTGGTTTAATATGTTCATTAAGCATTATTATCTGATCCCAGCTTCTGGGTCAGATGACTAATTTAATGGAACAGCTCTTAAATTCTCATCTGAGGGACTTTGGACAGGACAGACATCCATCCATGCATGCAGGTATTTGAGGAAGGAAGATCTAGCTTGCAGTAACTGCAGTGGTTCTGGGCGTTGTGCATGTGCTGATGGCATGACTGCCATCCCTCCCTTTTGTTCTAACTTTGATCATCAAAATTGACTACTGCAAGCAGTTGCCATTGATGCCAGTTTTGATGCCCACAGGAATTTAGCTGACATGACCCACAACTGATATTTTAAACACATTTGACAACAGGCACATAATGAACCAGAAAGTTTGTCATCTCAGCAGCGAAATCAATTGATTACAGGAAAGCTGCAGATTCCTTCATCAAGTACTGACCTCCTGTTCAAAAATATATACAGTACAGAATATTTAAAGTAATGTCATGACTACTAAGTAGCCCTTTATTTTATCCTTTTATTTGACAGAACAACTTTGGTATAGGCATTTCTTTTAACAGCATGCCATGGATTTGTGTAGCCATACAGGACTTTACTGAATCACTGTGTTCACTTCTTGTAGCCGTTGGTCATGAAGTCACCAAAAACACATATGAGAAATGAGTTCAGTTCTGTGCATGGGGAGATCCAGCAAAATGTAGCACACATTGTAGTCATATCATAAGAAAAAAAGTAAACCCAAGAGCAAACCAGAGATTACTGACCTGTTGCAGATCCTCAAAGTCAAAATGACTGGCTTATAACATTTCCATTTTTCCCTCTGATATATTTGTAACAGAGTCCAGAGTGCTAACCATTACACAATGGTTGCTGGCAGGGCACGTCTCCAGGATGAAGGACCACTGCCTCCCTAAGATCCTGCTTTATGGTGAACTTGCCACAGGCTGCCACAAGAGAGGAGCCCCGAAGAAAAGATACAAGGACTCCCTGAAACAACATCTCAGCCTTGGCCACATTGACCACCATAACTGGTCTACTCTGGCCTCCAATCGGGAGGCCTGGAGACACACCATCTATAACGCTGCTGATGCTTTTGAGAAAGCTCGCAGGATCACCCTTGAGGAGAAAAGACAACGCAGAAAGAATCAAGCCTTGCAGAATATACCATCTAAGGAGTCTTTCTGCTGTGCCTTTTGCAACCGGACATGCCTCTCTCGTATTGGCCTTTTTAGCCACCAATGTGCTTGCAAGAAATGTGGGTAGAGCCCTTCCCAAATCTTCATTTGCGAAGCCTAGCCATGATGATTTGATGATGATCTTTGTAACAGATCTTACTTTTTGGTACATCAATTGCTGTGCAGTGCAGGTAACATCAGCATGATGCACGTCATTATAATAAGACTTAACTCTTTGAAAATCAAACAAAAAACTGATGACCTGCAGCACCTCTTTAGGTTCTTTAGAACAGGTATTTTTTAAGCATTTAAGGGTATTTTTAAAGCATTTTAAAGCACCTTTCCCCACCATTTTCTTTTTCCTGTGCTTTCAGGAC